TAAATTACAATTGAAGCCTATGATATATGCTCTTATTTTTATACAAATAATTTTGGTAAAAGATTTGAGCAATATCTATGCACGAATTATTTCAATCAATGTCATTAGTATTCAAAACACTAAAGAAATAAGTACTACTAAGTAATCAAAATCTAGACTGCTCAACTAGAATTCAGTACTAAGATAACCATACTTCATGCGAACCCTTAGAACCAGAGCAAAAATAGTTACTCAAAATAACTATTTATTTAAAGAGACTCAATACTCATCTTGTTCTGTCAGATTGACTTTTGCTGGTTTTGCCCTTGTGATGGTAGCACTGGTGTGCTCGGTGTCCTTGCTTTCTGCACGCAAAACACCTTCCTTTATACTTCTTGATTTTTCTACTCCTTTCGTTGTAGACGGTTCTGACACTTTGATTTTCATTTCCATTGGCACCGTACTTTTCTGACAGTGATTCCCAAATGACTTTTGCCGAATCTTGTTTGACATAGATGTCGAACAATTCGTCATTCATTTGTGACAGTAGGTATCCTCTGGCTGCCGCATTGTCATTTCTGAATTGAGTCAGAGTTACACCCGGTTCTTGACCCGGAATGTAATCTATTTCAGGACTGCTTTCTCTCGATTCTTTACCCGGAGTGTAATCAGGTTCATGATTACATTTTGTAGCACCAAACAGAGATAACACTGTTGGAGTAGGTTCAGGTGCAACTGAAAATAGCACGTAAACCAACTTTAATTGTTCAAAAAGAATAAACATTCTTTGACATCATCTGTTGTAATTTCTCCCATCAAGCGCGGTGATCTTTGATAGATCCGGTATGACAGAAGGTGTCATAATGCTAAAGGTTGACTGTTGCAAAATAACGCTTTTAACTGTTGGGGAAAATTGCAACGCCAACGCGCGATCTGGAAGCCTTTTAAGACGCACGGACACTACGGATGTATGGTAGAAAGAAAGTCTGTGCCGTGTTATAATAACACTACCTTAAAAGCGTTATTTGCCCGGTAACGGTGCAGTTAGAACCCTGGCACGCTTTCGACAGGCTACACAAACTAACTACGCTTAGTTCGCACCAACTATAGCGTAGGCGAACCTGACTTTGCTCAAACCCAAGAAAATAAACCTCATATAGAAGTGAAAGGTTTTTTTGGAAACCGTGTTCTATAAAAGAGGAAGGAAGGCTGCTTATATACTTATTAGTATAACAACCTCCCTCTTTCTAGCCACAACTCATAGCTAAATAAGGGGGAACGTGTGGTTATGTAATTACATGACCACAATTAATAAACAAAACATGGGCCACAATTCTAGCTTTAGAATGAACGTGTGGTGAAGTTCTAATACATTGAATGTATTTCCAACAATTAGTTCCACAGATCGGTGCCACACGCGTTCGCATCGATGGCCTTTATGAGATATCGTCCCCTTCATCTTCTCTTTCAGAATCATCTGGCGGTGCAAGTCGGAGTTCCAATCATCTGGCAGTGCGAAGACTGGTGACCTTGCCCTGCTGCAATGGAGAACGAGGCGACTATGACGAAAGGGGCATATTCGATGGCGAAAGATGGCAACTGGCAACGTCAGTGATGGTAACGACCGACGATGATGGCACTGATGATGGAGACGATGAAGGCAATGAAATTTGGTATTGGAGGCTATTGCATATCTGCATATTGGAGACGAAGGAACGAAGCGAGTTGCTAAGTATTGGGTTGAAAACCTTAGTTTTCTGCGTTCGGTGATTTTATTTAATTAATTAAAAAACAAAGTTGATGACTATCTGCGTCAGTTATGATTCAGCAACAGACGCAGATAGTCCATTTATATTAAAAAAAATAAATAAAAAATCACTTAACAGTGAGCTTTTAGAGTGTGTTTGGTTCATGGATTTAGCTATCAGGAATGAGAATCAAAGTGATTGTTATTGTTTCGTTGACAGTTTCTAGAACATGCACTACTATGGGATAAAGTCATTCCCTAATAAAATAAGGGTTTCATTCCATTATTCTCCCTCCTAATTAGTAATTTGATTTTTAAGTTTGGATTAGTGCTTTTAGATTTTTGTTTTTAATTATTTTTTTTGTTCATATTGGTGCTTTGGATGTCTTTATATTAGACTAAATTGTCTTGATTTTTTGTTCTTGTATTTTTAAAATCTTTATTCCCATTATAGGATCATACATAACCAAACAACAATATTGGTAATCATTCCAATTCCGCCCTACTACCAAGCATACAAAATACTATCACCAAAACCCATTATCATTATCAAATATTTGATTCTCATTCCGATTTCGATTCCCATGTGCGAATCAAACACACCCTTAATTACAAAATTACCATTGCATCACTTTACCGTACGGTGTTTAAACACCATATGCAAATTGTCTTATTTTTATGGTCATTTTTATACTAGTGATCGGCGTCTAGTTGAGACTTGGAGAGCAAACGAAGATAGGGACGACTTGGAGATTTGAACTTTGGAGAACTAGAGAAGAGTAGAAGACGAAGTAGCTTAGTATAGAGTAGAGTACAAAGAACTAAAAGAAGGAGAGAAGTCAGAGAACTAGAGACTTGGAGTTGTGGAGAGTGAGACGAAATGAGAGCTGAGGGAGTCGAGACTGCGCAATGGAGAGAAATGGAGAACCCTAGCTATATATATATATATATATATATATATATATATATATATATATATATATGTATATATATATATATATATATATATATATATATATATATATATGTATATATATATATATATATATAGGGAAGGGCTCGCGTGCATTTAGGCCTTCCTGTAAAAAATGAGGTTGAATCTAAGCCTTACGTAGCTCTTTACGCACGTAGATGATTAGGTAGCCGCATGTTAATTTTTACAAATGCGCATATTACAGTTTTCACCGATGCCGGTTAATTACCGACGTAAAATTTTAAACAACCCTTACACATGTTATCTGTTAAACACACGCACGTTCAGTGCTTTCTAGACGCATGTTAATGTTAATGGACTCACTGACGCACGTTAACTAATGACCATAAGTTTTAAAAAACACTTAGGCATGTTAACTGCTCAACATACGCACGTTAACTATTACCCTGACGCATGTTAAGTGCTCACTTGCCGCACGTGCTCTTGTATTTTATAAACCTGACATATTGACAATGATCTGATTAAATTAACGCATATTAAGTATTCACACTACGCACATAGAGGCTTACAACAATGCAATAATAACTTCATGCTTATATGTTACAGTTCCCAGTGACTTGCAATCTCTGAACAACCCCAGTTTGAGTCCCAGCAGCAACAACAATGGTTATACATTGACCATATCTCCTGGAATGACATAGTATTGGACTCCGCACTGTGAAGATGAAATCAAACCAGCGGTTGACATGATTTTTAAAACATTGGATGCTGGTATTGAATTCTACAACAATTATGCTGCCAAAGTCGGGTTTGACACGAGGTCTAGTTCCCTCGATAGAGCACGCGACAGGACGAAAACTCTAAAGCAAATCATTTGCAATAGAGAGGGATTTAAGAATACGGATGCTCAACATTGTCACTCAAAATCAAATGCAGATGCGGGGGAAGGTCCATCGCGTCCAAAGCGGCGGAGGGTTTCAAACAGAACTGGTTGCAGAGCTAGGATTATTTTTAAGTACATTGGAGTAGCTGGGTACCAGGTTGCGACATTTATTGAAAAACATAATCACAGCATGTCTTCGGTTCTTGCAATGCAGTTCCTAAAGGGAATTAGAAACATCTCCAGTGTTCATCACAAGTTTATACTAGATTGTGCTAAAGCAAATATTGGAGCATCAAAATCACACGGTTTATACAGTCAGATTGTGGGGGATTACTCTGAAGTTGGGGTAACCGTAGTTGACTTTAAAAATGTCAGAAGGGATCTTAGAGCATACATATTGGGTGCTGATGCACAAATACCCGTGCATAATCTTATTAAAAAACACGAGATGTGCCTTGCATTTGCTTTTAACTACGATGTTGATGAAGATGAGCAGATGAGTAGACTGTTTTGGGCAGATCCAATGTCAAAAAAGAATTTTGCTGCATTTGGAGATGTTGTCTCTTTTAATGCCACATATTCAACCAACAGGTATTATTCTATTCACATTCTTGCGTACGTTTCATTAATTAATTCACATGAAGCATTGCCTAATATGTTGAGCCACGTTAAGATTTATACATGTTCACTGTTTACTTGAAAAGAATTGTAATATAAATAAGCGCACATTGTCGCTTTATACCACGCATCTTAAACACTAATGTCGCGCATATTAATGTGGAACATCCAGAATTAGACTTCAAGTACATATGTCTGCGATTTTAAGAGTTAATGTGCGTCACTCTAATGCTCTAAGTGCGCCAGTTTGACACCTGTATACTGTGATGACGCTTTTTGTCTTGTAGGTACGATCTGGTTTTTACACCCTTCACTGGAGTTGATAACCATAAAAAATGTATAACATTTGGCGCTGGACTATTGTTGAAAGAAGACATTGAGTCTTATGTTTGGCTCTTTGAAAACTTTAAAAAGGCAATGGGTATGGAAACAAGAATAATTGTCACTGATCAAGATCCAGCTATGAAAGTTGCGATTCCAAGAGTTTTCAAGCAAGCCAGACATCGTTATTGCATATGGCACATTATGTGTAAAGATGGGGAAACGGTGGGTCCCACGTTGAACAAGAATGAGGATTTTAAGAACAAATTGAACTCAATCGTTTGGACGTCATCTTTGGAACCTCCTGATTTTGAGAAATAGTGGAGAGAGCTCATGGAAAAGTACAACTTAGTCGAACACAATTGGTTTACAACTATGTTTAAGGCTAGAAACCATTGGATCCTAGCCTATTTTAGAGATGACTTTATGGGGGGTCTACTCAGGACAACGTCTTGTTCCGAAAGTGAGAACTACACGTACAGCCGTTTTACTGCCCACAGTCTAGCCTAGTTGAATTCATGATGAACTTTGACAGTGCTCTTAAATCACAACGTAACACAAACGCAAAGCTCAACGGTGACAATGAAGGCTACAATCCAGATATGAAGACGCCTCTGGGGATCGAAAAACACGCTTCAATCGTCTACACCATTACTGTTTTCTATCAAGTTCAGGAAGAAATATGTGCCTCCTGTTTCAAATGTATGGTGTTGAGTGTTAGAGAAGACGGTGGAATGTTACACTATGATATTATGGATGGAAAGAACAAAATATTTACTGTGGTGCACAATGTAAATGGCCATAAGGCCAAATGCAGTTGCAAGATGTTTGAGATGGTTGGACTGTTGTGTAGACACATATTTGTGGTCTTTAGAGACCTTGAAAAGATACCTCTGAAGTATGTGGTTAATCGATGGACTAAGGATGCATCTTTAAAGGCTACATTTGAAATAGATGGTGTCATTTATGATCAGAATGGACCAAAGGATGAAAAGAAGATGTTGCTGAACAAACTGTGGTCTAATGTACACTGTTGTATTGATCTAGCAGGTTCAAACATGGAGCAATTGGCTGCATTTTCGCAAGTGATTAATGAACAGAAACAGCTGCTAATGTCAGGAAAGGAAAAGTTATCCCCTCAGCACAACAAGAAGACTGTTAAAGAATCATTTTGTGGATCAACATAGATTTCAAATTAAAGATCAATATACTTCCACCGAAACATGCAAAGAACAAGGGCAGCGGCAAACGTATCAAAAGCAGCAAGGAGTTGGCAATGGAAAAAGAAAAGGGCAGGAGGTGCAATTTTTGTGGTGTTAGAGGAGAACAACATGACACCAGGACTTGCCCACTTAACCCAAAAAATAAGGACAAGCAAAAGGGTAAGAAAAAGGCATAGGAGTCTATTTTTACAACGCCTTTATAGTTGAGAACGAAAATAAATAGCAAATATGAAACACAAATACTTAGTTAACTCATTTTAGAACGCTTTTATAGTTGAGATACTTGAATTTAACGTTAAGCAATTACTAGTTTTTGTTTTTATCACTGATTTGTGTTTAACAATCACTGCTACTAGCTTAAGCTGCTTGTCATTAATACTTTACCTGCATGTAGTTAATATGCGTTGATTACACTTTTAACGTGCGCTACACTAAGGCTTAATATGCGTAATATGGAAACAGAATGTGTGTTGGTTTATGTATAAAAACTTTGGTCCGTGGTAAATGCCAAAGTCTTTACATGCGTCGATTAACATTTAACTTGCGTGACATTAATGCTTAATATGCGTAATCTGCACAAAGACAACATTTAACACTTTCTTTTTCTAATATGCGTTTATTTATTAGTTAATATAGGATGCTTTAAAAATTAGTCAAATATGCGCGATTGCAAAACTTAAAGTGCGTTTGTTTGATTATGAAATAATTTGCAGATAAAATGGCACATATATAATCGATTTCACATATTTATTTCTTCTAGTACTTTGAAGACATCTCTTCTGGTTCCGGCAGCATCCGACACGCTGCCAGCCTGCCACAATGCTAAACTCTCAGCCTTGGATGATGTTTGGTTGCAGCATGATGAGCTTGCAGCTGAGAATGGCGAATGATGTTTCAGGTTTAGAATGTGTTGTTTTTGTAGTTAGATACAATCACTACAAGCTGGAGGGCGAGGAAAATGAAAAGGACATAGTTCTTCTGTACGTGCAGAAACGTGAGAGATAGCCATTTCAATAACCTGATGCTCAGTTGTGTGTTCTTCTTTCTAATTTATAGGTGAATAACTTGGTCCCGTGCACTAATTTGAGATTTGAATGTCGCGTGATTTACAGACACATTAGATTTTTCAAGATTTCCTTTAATGGGTGCGTTTTTTAAGGCATTGAATGACCATTCAATGTGTTGGTCCCAAAAGAGGTAAGGTGAAAGTCTAGAGGGAGGGGGGGGGGGTGAATAGACTTTCAAACTTTTTCGCACAGCACAATAATTGCTAAGCCAGAGATAAACCAAAACTCTTAACTAGATTGTTAGAGTATGGTGCACAGCGGAAATAAATAAACATAAAGTGTGTGTGAGATTGTGTGAGCAATATATCTCGTGTAGAGCGAATATGTAAAGAGCGGTAAGTAAAGAAAGCAGTAAAGAACACAAGACAATTATAGTGGTTCGCGAGGTGGTGTAATCCTCCTACTCCACTTGCTCTTATCTCCAAGAGCAATTCACTATATCTACCACTCCTTGGTTCCAAGATACAATGAATTTCCGTGATCTAGTGCTTTGATCACAAAGCCCGCACTAATCATGCCCAGTGACACCACACTGCTGCTTCGGGTTTCACGTCGTCGCGCTACTATCCCAGGATTTCACGACTCCGCGTTACTTTCCCCCCGTCTTCCACACTCCGGTAGAAACGTATCCCGTGATCTGGTGCTTTGATCACCAAGCCCACACCAATCACGCCCAGTGCCTCCGACACTGCTGCTTCGGATCTCACAGCTCCGTGTGACAATCCAGGATTTCACAGCTCCGTGCTACTTTCCTCCCTTCTCTTGTTTTGCTCCAAAACAAGTGTTGTCTTGCTTCCAACTTCTGAGACTCTATAGATGATCTTCAATGATGCGCAGGTCTCTTTGATGAAGATAAACACTCTGGAATGATTTCTCTTGATAGCTCTGAGTGTTTTCTCTCTGTGAATATATCAAGTAAAGCACTTGATATTTTTGCTCTGCTTTGCTCTGTTTAAGAACTCTCAGAATATTTCTCTTTTAAAGCTCTCTGAGTTCTTTTTCTTTTCTCACTTCTCACTTGAAGATTTTTGGTATGCTCTGTACCAAATGAGATTTTTGCTCTATGCTCTTTTCAAGCTTAATTGCTCTATTCGATCTCTTGATGAGTTTCGAATTTTCTGCTCTTGCTCTATTGCTCTTCACACTTCGCCGTTCTTCAAGTCTTCATATCTTCATCATTTTATAGCTGGTAATGAGAATCTGTCTGTTGGAAAGAGACGCTCTCATTTTTGAAATCTTGTATCTTTTTGTCAGAGATCTTATCTTATCTTCTGCAAAGATGTCAGAAAGGATAAGCTAGCCGTTGTTAGAGCTTCATCTCCATGTAAATGGGTTCTCAAACTTCATCTGATATTTCCTCTGGTTTTACGTTGAGTGGGAATATCTGGGTGTAGAACGGCTTCTCTGATTAGCTCTGAAGTGGTCTTTGTATCTTTGGGATTTAAAAATATTCATCAATTTAATCCCATACTAGTTTCCTTGTGAGAATATTTTCACTGTAAGTTCATCTTCATCTTCTTGGGTGTTCTCAGACTTCAAACTGGCTTTGAACTTCCACCCAACCCAATTTGAATTTCTCCTTTGTAATTGACACCTTGAATCGATCCCCAACTTTGAAATTGGCTCTCAGACTTCTCCTGGTATTGAAATTGGCCTTAAACTAGCTCCCAGTTTCAATTGCTTGTAATCGGCGCGCCCGAAGCTTAAACTAGCGCCCAACTCCAAGTAATCGGCGCGCCCGAAGCTTAAACTAGCGCCCAACTCCATCAGATTAATTGTTGATGGTGAGTTTCGAACTTGAGCCATTTCGCATAATATATCAAGCATCATCCACTTCGTCCGTACAGCTTTTGATTAAATCTCCAATCATATTTGATGTACTCCTTTCTTTCCATTGATGCTTGATCTCCAAGTCAATTTCATGCATTCTTAATTTTCTTCACGAAAATTCTTCTGGGATATCTTCTTTGAGTAGCATTGACGTGATTTCATATCATTCATCTTCTTCTTTAATTTGTCATTTTCTCCAGACAAATTCTTGATTTTAGGCTTTATATCTTGTTCTTCTATTTTCATCCATCTTCCTCTGTTTTTCTCTTTTCATAATTAAATAATTTTCTGATCTTGGTCTAAGACTCTACTAGACCTATAAAATAAAATTGGGGGATCTACAAATACAAATTTGGCATATCAAAACCATTACACTTTATTCCTAACACAATGTTATCTGTTTCCCCAACTACAAATGCCTTAAAGTTCTGACATCAAATATCTTTGAACATTACATAAAGACGGATTGGTATAAAAGCCTTAATGTGCTTTGCTTTTCTCTGTTACATGCGCGAACTACAAGAACAATATGCGTGTAAATATACATTTAATTAAATTGCATCAAAATAAGAGATTTTTAAAAACCAAAAGTTTAAAGTGCGTAGGGAAACCAATTAAAGTGCGCGAAATATCACTTTAAGATGCGTTTATTATATTTTATTAAAAAAACAAATAAAATATAATAAAAAAATCAAGTCTTTATGGGGGGTTGATCCTAAGAAAAATCAGTATTATCAAAGACTTCTACCATTTCACCAATGTACTCATCCATTACTTAGATTATATGAAAAATATTAAACAACAATTCCTGAAAATTAAAAACAAACAAAAAGAAAAAAAAAAGAATATATTTAAAATGCAATACGTACGCTTAAGATGCGTAATACGACAATAAAATGTGTGTTGCTTTATGTATTAAAAGTATAGTCCGTGGCAAATGCAAAAAAGATTAACATGCGCAATACAGTAACATAATGTGCATTAGAAAATACGTGAGTTTGGATGTTCTTTTCCGGACATAGTAATATGCGTAAAATTTGGTCTTAATGTGGGGTTTTTTTTTTGTTTTTTTTTTATTTTTTTTATATCTTATATTTCCTTGAAAAAAGGTCTTAATGTGCTTGAATTTTTCTATTAAATTATCAGGTAAACACGAAACTATTAAGATCTCAAATTACATAACGTCCATTGATTTTAGTCTAATAGTACTCGGATTTGCTAGATTATTTAACCATTATAAAAAACAACTATAATATTAATAATAATACTAATAATAATAACAACAACAGTAATAATAATGAAGCGGACATGAGAGCTTATTTTTAATAACAAAATTAAAAATAATAATAAAAATAAAAATAAAAAAACCCTAGGCAAACGACAGGATCCGTCTATACCTTTTGGAGATATTCCTTTTGGTTAAGCCTACATTAAGGTACCAAAAGATATATCTCCAAATGGAGTAGAGGATCCTGCCGCATGTCTGGGCTAAAACAACACATTATAAACCTGAAAAGATCGACTTCTATGAATCTAAAATCTAACTGATCCAGATGTATTGGACTGCCCCACATGTAATATTCAACTTACAGACAAAGTTGATCTCTAAATTGAATATCCAAATCACTTAGCATTTAGATCCACAGAAGAAGATCTTTTCAGGCTTAAAATGTGCTGATTTAGATGAAAACAATGATAACATGTGCTCTAATCAAATGAGGTCGGCTCCGCTAATAGTTCCTTTACATCCTCGTATAAACTTCTAGGGTTTAGGTATTGTATTTGATCCATGGGATATTTACAATGTGTTGTTATTGTAATCAACTACATTTACAAACAAGTAGAAGGAGGGCGAGTATGATGAGGATGGGTAAACATCGTAATGAATGTGAAGAAAATGCCGAGGAATAAATGATGGTCTGTAAAACTGAAATGACACTGTTTCAATATATATGCTGTATGGTAAGGTGATACTCCACTTTTATAGGCGAATAACTTGGTAAAATTCACCGATTGGAGAAATTCAATGTTAACCGTTTAGTGAACTTAAAAATAAATTGACGTTCA